TACTTGCATAATATATATGCACATATGGACACACAAATTTATTTGCAAAAGAATAATGACCATGCTAGTTCTTATTTCTGTAACTAATAATGTGGGGATAACTCCATTCTCAACTACCTTCTCTTCCTAACTATTCCTTATTTTCCTCATCCTAGCTAGCTCTTCAGCTAATTGTAGTAGTTCTTTATCAGGTGAAGTAACTCAAGTCTTTATTTCTAAAGTATTTGGAAATTATTACTTCTGCCTGAATTAGGTTATCACAGTTTTCCATTTCTCTTAAACAGTAACACTAAGAAAGGCCTGATGGGGTTGTGTGTATATTCTGTATCTATCATTGAGAGCTAGAAGTCCACTTTCCTCTTGATAGTCTAGTTTGATCACCCCAGCCAACCTGATAGATATTTTGCTTGCACTGCTGAGCACCAGAGCCCAACGTGGCTGGTCAGCAGTTGTCTTAAATGGCAGTTCAATCAAATGATTGTGCCAGCTGGTGAAAGCACTGCTCCTCTGGAATTGAAAGTTGTAGATCAATGGCACATACAATTCTAGGAAAAAGAAGTCAAATTTTGCTAGTAGATCAGTAGCGCTAATGATGAATGCAACTGCTTCATGTTTCTGTCTTTGAATTTTAAATGCTCACTGTCAGAGTACCAGCACCATACATTAAACACTTAATTGGAGCATAGACAACCTGCTGGCAAACCCTTACAAAATGTTGCTACTTACCTGGAAGTATAATTGAATCATCAATGACTATTTCACAGTTCTAGCCGGCCAGCTGCTTAAAGGTGATGAAAAACATAGTAAAACCATAAGTAAAGAACAATTTCCATATTTCTCTGGTCTTTGATCATGAGCAATGTGAATGCAAAACTGTCCTTATCCACTTTCAGGGGTGCCTATCTATTGAACCTCCTTCAAGTTAGGGCCAGTAACAGAATATAGATTCCTCTCAAAAGGAGAGCAGTTATCTGGAGATGATGCCAGGGGTTGGCCTGTGCTATAATTCATCTTAAGGGATCTGGGAGTGCTCCCAGGGGAGACTCTCCATTCCTATTCACTGTTACTTTGAACACAATGAACCTCCTGGGTAGCTTTTACAGCAGTGTAGATGTGTTGCAGAACCTCTTCTACTTGGAACCTCTCAAAACTAGCAACTTCCTGTTTGTTCATTGAATTTCTTGGTCTACTGGGTTTTGGACTCAGGGCCTTATAATTGCTAGATAACAGCTCTTTCACTTGAACCATTCCTCCAGGCATTTTTGCTTTAGCTATTTTTCAGATAGCTTTTCTTGTTTTGCTTGGAGATCTTAGCCAGGGACTGTATCACCATCCAGAGGACAAGCACAATTGTACATCACCCTAGTCATACCTATCACATTAACTTTTTGCCATATCAAACCATGCCTTAGGGTACTTGAGATGACTGGCATGCATCACCACACCAGGTGTCTCTAGTTTTATGACTGTTTTCATTTGACATGGAACTTCCTATGTATATAATAAGAATTTACTAGGATCTCTTTTCACTTCTAGACAATATTATAGATATTAGTGGCTAAACCTGTTTTTATTGTTGTTGTTCCAGTCCTGGGTATTGTCTCTGAGGATGTTTTTTCCCCCTCAAAGCTAATGCTCTACCACTTGAGCTATAGCTGCACTTCCAGCTTCTTGAGTGGTTAATTAGAAATAAGAGTCTCGTGGTCTTTCCTGCCTGGGCTGGCTTCAAACTGTGATCCTCAGATCTCAGTCTTGTGAATAGCTAGGACTGTATGATTTATTGTGGTAGTTAGGTTCACTTTCCACTTCAGCAGTTGAGGGTCATTTAGCTCCTGCCTCACTGTAATTCAATCATTCTATTGCATATACATTCAATCTAACCATAACATTTCAATTTAAGTCTCTGGTTTTCTTTTTTTATTTAAACCCTAAGAAATCAGTTATTTCCCATTCACTGATAGTGAGTGGAAGATTAAGGAACATAAAGGCATTGGCTAATTGCTCTTAATTTCACTAGACAAAGTGGTAAGAGATAAGGATGCAAAACAGCAATGTTCTGACCCAATAGTTTATGTGCAAGCCTGGAGGGAAAGCCTCATCTATAACCTTGGGGCTGAAATATCCATCTCCTGATTCATGTTTCAAAACATGCCAAACTGTTAGACCTCTTTCTAACTCTCAAGCTGCACTAATTAATGAACAACAGCAAAAACAAAAATCCTCTACTTCATGAAGGCCTGTCAGTACACTTAAGATTACTGACTTTTGGATTTACTCAATCAAGCAATATATTGCCACACCTCTTTTTTCCTATCTTTGGACTTGGGTTGAAATTTACCCCTTTAGAATTCCTGGTCCTTCAGCTTGCAGACTGATGGTGGTGTGTCTTTACAATCTTCGTTATCATGAGAGCTAAATTCTAATACATATTTTTCTATCTCTTGCTTGCTGGCTGTGTCAACTCACTTGCTCACTTATTTCTATTGGTTTTAATGCTCTGGCATACCTTGACTGATATGTTATTTAGTACAAGGAGTAGTTCTAGAAGATCAGAATTCTGGGAATAAGTTTTCTGAATTGTTTGAATAGTTTCTGGAACTTGTTTTCTAAATTGATTGGCTTTGAAGACATTAATGGCTATTTCTAATAGTAAAGATAGTACTAATAGAATCTCTATGAAGAGTGTTCATGTGTAGAAGTAAACTTTAAGCCCAGGCTAATACTTATATGATAAAAAAAAATCCTATGATACAAAATACTAGTCAGGATGTATAGTAAGGGAACTCTTATTCATAGCTATTTGGAATGGAGAATATTGTGGCTATTTTGGAAGACAGTTTGTTGTTTTTTGAGAAAAAAAACAGAGCTAAATGTCATTTCAGCATGTTTTGCAGCAACTGTACACTTCAATATTGACCAAAATACAGCAAAAACATGTCCCTACCAAAGCCTGCAGGAGAATCTATATAACTGCCTTACTGCTAATTGCTAAAAATTAGAGGTAACTGGTATATATATATACATACATACATACATACATATACACATTTACATATATAATGTATACATATGCATATATAATATATAAATAGATGAATGGAAAAAATCCATAGTATATCTATGAGATATTATATAATAATAACAAGTAATGATTTGTAATGTTACCAAAAGACATGGAGGAATCATGAATTCTTATTGTTAATTCAAAGAAACAAATCCAGACTAGCTACAAACTATTTGACATAATGAGATGCCACTCTTGAGAAAGGTGACTTATAGAATGAATAAACACTGGTATTGCTACAGTTTCAGGTGAGGGAAGATAGCCTGACTCAGTTGAGCACAAAGGACTGTTGGAGGAGTAGAAATATTTAGTAAGGCATGGTAATGGGATATGTGTGATAGCATGCATTTGTCAGTGAAATTTAATGTAAACTATGAACAAATATTGGTTCTTTAATTGCAATAAGTATTCCACACTAATAAGCTGTGTTCACAATGCAGGAAGCTATACAAAAGACATTGTTTTGTAAATTTAAAACTGTTGTAAGTCTGGACATGGTGGTGCATTCCTATAGTCTTAACTACAAAGGGGGTGGAGATAGGAGGATGACACTCAGAGACCAGCCTAGGAATAACGTAGTGAGATTGCATCTCAAAACAAGCTAGGGGTAGTGGTCCATATTTGTAATCCCAGCTACTTGAGCAGTCAAGAAGGAATGCTAAATGATCACAATCAGACCATGGCTGTCCCAAAGTTAGCACAAGAATGTTAACAAAAGGACTAAGGGACTTGACCCAAGTGGTAGTATGCTGAATCCTGAGTTCAATCCCTAGTACTACTGAAAATGAACAAAAATGTTTATCAACAATTTTAAAAACTCAGTTATGATGCCAGTGTCACTCTATAATATGAAAAAAATGCCATTTATAAAGAAATTGCATGTAAGTACGGAAGGAAAAGAAAAGGCTCAGTAGTTGAGCAGAAAGGACTATTGTCATGGGGATATTTTATCAAACAGTCCAGCCCCACATTTGTGTTAAACTTTGTAGAGTATAACAACAGTATGATCTTTGCAGAATTACAAGTGCTTATCTGGGATATTTTTCTAGACTGAAAGTACAAAAGAGGGAAAGTTTTTGATTGGTTTAAACATTTTGTAACGTCCTCTGTACCAATTACTGAAGAAGAATGAAGTTTCAAGTACACTTTATCTATTAGCCCTATTCAGGATTAGCCCTGCTCTTCAGAATACACTTCAGTCTTTTTGCTTTGGGTAAGGTTAATTATTATTGCCTTTTCATTTTTCTTGAATTCATCAGCCACTTGTATCAATTAATTGTGTTTTTAATGCCTCTTTTCCTAGATGCCTGCCATTGCACTAATTACTAAGATCCTTACTTTAAACTATGTTTTAATATGGAAGCTGGGTAAATAAATAATTTTACTGATAGCATATTGGAATTTGTCTTAGTTAAAGGAAAATACAAGATTTGAAGGTCATTTGGAGACATAATCAAGTGTGTAAGAATCAAGCACTATCTCTCAAAAGTAAGTGAATTCTAGAAATGAGAGATAACCAGTGTCATAACTAATTGTGTTAGAGGTATTGATAAACGTAGAAGGACAGGAACAAAGGAGATACAGTGGCACAAAATGCAGAAGGGTATAGAATTCCTGTTCACTCAGGGATATACCATTGGCCAGGTTATTTTTTCCTTCATTCTCCTGTCTAATTTAAAACACTATTCTTGGCTACCTTTGTGTAGAAGAGTCATGTTTGTAAAATAATAACTCAAAGGTGTGTGATATGTACGTTCTTCAGTTATCATCTGTTCTTTAATCCTCAAGGTTGTTTTAGCATTAAAGAAATGCTGTCAAATTGAGTGTGTTTTCCAATTGCCTTGTTAGTTTCAGTGTGTTTTCCAATTGACTTGTTAGGACTAGACTAAGTCTGACAGAGCCTTCTTTGGCAGGTGTCCCAATTCGGGGTCCTTACCTTCCTCCAGGTTCTGTTCTGTCACATTTTCTTCTCTCACTCCACCAAGTTTATTCTTTTGAACGTCAACCTCACCCATGTTATTATTCATCAGTGAATGAGTAAGGGATTCCTCTCTTCCACTCTCTCTTCTGTGTGCTTTGCCCCAGGCATTTTCTTGCTCATCTTCAGCTTGGTTTCTTCATACTCTGTCTCCCAAAACTACTGAATGCGATTGGGAAATTTAGGAAATTATGAGCCAAAGATTTAAAATAAAAATAACAGCCTAAGCTTTCTCTATTTCTGAAGGAATAAACATGACTCTGTATGGCTAACTGCATGTGCAGGTATGTATCCATATCTATGTTAAGCCACTGCATCACAAGGCCAGCCCACACAAAGTTAATCTCCGCCTCCTTCTCTGGCATTCAGAATAAAAACTCACTAGAAACTTTCCAAATACACCAGTAGTTCTCATCCTCTCTGCGCAGCTTAAATCTTGCATTGATATTTGAAGAAAACTAAAGTAGATCATTCAATTTCTTTCCCAGGATCATCTGGACCAGGTAGTATGTTTATTTTTAATGTTAGCACTCAGATTTTAAGTATTGAATGTACACAATATGTTGCAAAGCTGTTTAACAGAAAGAAAATGTAGGAAAGATAAAGTTTTTTTTTTAACAATGCCATATGTTACAACGCTGTTTTTAAAAAAAGAAAATGCAGGGAAGATGAAATTTTATTAGATAATATTTAAAGGAACTAAAAGTGTCTAAAGTCACTTATTTGTCATTGAAGTAATGTCTTCATTTACCTAAAGTTTTGTTCTTTAAAGAACTGTAGCATAAGGTTATAGTATTGTAGCAATCTGGGAACTGTTGCATGCTGAACATGTTTGCTAATTTTGGTGATGGGGAAAGAAAACAAGCAGGCTAGACACAGGTAGAATGTAGACTTATTCTAAACTTAGGTTACTTGTGTGCAACATATCAGAGGGAGTCTATCACTAGAAAGAGTTGTAAAAGTATTGTCGTAACTTTTAAGTGAGAAACTTCAAATAATACTGCAAAAATTTAAAGTCATTGGCATGATACTGCCTGTATTATCTAGAAGCCCTTAAAGGGAGAATAGAGACAGAAAGATTAATAATTAAAATGACCAAATATTCCTGAGCATCTACTTAGTTTCACAGTACTGAAGTTTGATATTAGAAAATAAAGATGCAGAAAAAGATAGCTTCTGCTTTCAGCCACTTTCCCTAAATACAAGGTGGTCCAAGAGAACCAGGACTCAAGGGGCTTAGTGTGTATGCTCCTAGAATTTACCATATTGTTTAGAAACAAGAGGCATCCAACAGGAGGCATCCACACACAGGGTGTTTTCTAGATAAAAGGCTGGTTGGGGAAATGGAAGAGAGCAGGATGAAGAGAGAGACAAAAAGGAGAAAGAAGGAAAGAATTGTTTCTGAATTAAATTCATCTATAACACTTTTTGCACAACTGAAACTTTTATCCTCATTTATGAAATGTGTACTTCTAACTTGAGATAAAAGAGCCAGCTAGGAAGCAAATCCATGCACTGTAATGTGGGACAATTTATCAAAAGTAATTAAAAGAAGGGAGTGGCTTTATCCTATGTCCCCAGTGTAACTCCGAGATGAAGACTGACCGTGAAGCTGCAGCTAGCAGTCAGCCCTCAGCCAATCACCCATGTAATGATGAGTTAATTAGTTGCTCCCAGCTGACTTCAAAGCCAGTTCTTAGAAATTTGGCTCTATCCCCCAAAAGTAAGCCACATAAGTAAACAAATTAATGGACAGAGCCAGGGGGTGCCTTTTATACACATTTCCTCTAGCAAAAAGGAAAACAAAAGCATTTTCAGAGAATAAGAAGCATGTGTGTGTAAAGAGATTTATTGTAGAGACTGAATTTCTATGTTGCTATTAGAAATCCTACAATTATGGTGAGTTTACATACTGTATGTCTCAGATTTTCAAGGAGTTGAGATTGCTTTTAGGGACCTGCTTACTTTTCTCTTTGGGGAAGAAGAGTTGTGACTAATACTGTTTTGTGGTTCCAAAACACATGTTACACCATTCCTTGGACAAAACCAAACAAATTCAAGCTTCTTACAGGATGGATCTCCTGGTGTGCAATCTGGGGCCAAGTTGAAATCAACACCATACTGAGTTACTCTAGAGAAATGAAGAGATGGAAACAAATGCTAGAAAAAGTCATATTGGTTGTTTAATGTGAGAAAATAGATGGTCGAATACAAATATCTCTGTTATAACCATCAATTCCAATATGGGGAATGTTAACTTTGTGTGTCTCAGCTGTTTGACAGAGAGCTTGCCATGCCATTATACTGTTGACAGATCGATCCAAAGCTTGGCTCCCTGAATATTGTCTGCTATACATGATACAAATGCATATTTATCTACCAAGCAAGCCAAGCTTCTTCTCTTTTAATTTGCAATAATTGTTTCAAATATGTATTGTAATTATTATCATCTTCAAAATGAAGATGAGAAAATGGAGCACGGTGGAGCTAAAGCTAATTTATAAGTTTATACAACTTCAAATAATCAAACTGTGACTAATTCCACCCAGATGGTCTCCTTAAATAATTATATTCCATGCTGTGTACAAACTAATCATTGGAATCATTATCAGTACATGATCTTTTAACAGTTAAATACTCAGGTATGTGCACAAAAGAAAATTATAACATATGTTATATAAATAATAAAGTTTTATATACTACTATTAAAAAAAGCTAAAAACTGGGCACAAGTGACTCACTCCTGTAATTCTAGAAACTCAAGGGGGTGAGATATGAGGATTACAGTTTGGAGTCAGCCTGGTCAGACAAATCCTACAGACTCTTTTATCTCCAATTTTCCCAAGTGGTAGAATACCAGCTGTGAGTTAACAAGCCAAGCAAAAGCATAAGGCTCTGAGTTCAAAAGCCACTAACAGCACCCTTGCTCACCTCCCCCACCAAAAAAACCCCTCAAATAATAAAAAAGCTAAAAGAGAATTTCAATAATAAACCAAAAATAACTTATATTTTCAATGTATGAAACAAAATAGTAGCTGAAATGAGGAAAATGCAATGTTCCAGATAGACACATGCAGTAAAATATTTTAAATAACCCATAAACTCATGGAGTACAGAACATAAAAATTATAAAACATCTGTGATATGTAAATCAAAAACATTTAAAGCATTTTACAGGTGTGAAAAATTAGAAAAAAATTCAAAATGAGTTTAAAAAATAGTCCATCTCATGTACTGTGCTAATTGATGATGCTGATACTCAAAGATACCTATTGTGGCACTAGTTATACCAAAAAATGCATTGGGAAAAATGAGCTTTTAAGCAGCAAATAGTTACATTATCTATGGAACATTGGTACTATGGCCTGTGTGTCATTTATAACACCCAAAGCTATATTTTATTACAAACAACAAAATATATCTCCATTATAAGAGATTAAAAAGTGCATGCAAAATTTTGGCATAACTTAAGATAATACATGAAAGTATTCAAAACTATATTGAAATGTATTTGAAAACTAATGAAGAGACATTTGCTCAATTAAAACTTACACATGAAATTAGGTGTAACTGAGGAGGAAAATCAGAATTATTGCCCTCAATTTAAGTGAATTAATGATTACTCTTTAGTGATCAAGTGAGAGATAATTGTACAGATAATATCAAAGGTAATAAATGAAGTTTAAACTTTCAAGTTTTGTATCTTCAATAAAAACTTCACAGTGCCATTCATTTCAACTTCTTGCAAATACAGCCTTTGAGTGTACTTTAATGTTTATTAAATGACATATTTGGGCATTAAGAAAATTCTAATCAGAGTTTAAATCTAAAGACATCAATAATTGTCTTTTTAATATTTTTTATTGTAAAGATACTGTACAGAGAGGTTACAGATACATGAGCAAGGTAATGAGTCTATTTCCTACCCTTTGATCTTTTAAAATTCATTCTTTACTTTTGTATACCTTTTCAGTTTTGGCAGAGTGTAGGTACTCTTCCTTTCATTCATCATACCCTTAGAGCATGCTATGTATTCCCCATCTACCTTCATTTTAAGAATTGCTTTCTTAACTTTTTATGTCTTAGATTACATTCCTCATAGAATTAGAAAGTCTTAAAACACCAGAACTGAATCATATATATCTTTAGTATAACTTTACCTCCCCTGAGTAATAGCTAGTAAAAGCTAGATATTAATGCCAATGTTAAATTATACTCTAGTACATACAATGTGTAAAATGTATCTTCTATTTTTTTACAGTATTCAACTTTATGATGGATCTTGAGTGCAATGAAGCCTTTGGTGAAGTCCATGGAATTCCAATGTATAAAGACTTTGTCAAATATTGGGATGACGTGGAAACATTCCAAGCAAGGCCAGATGATCTTGTCATTGTCACCTATCCTAAGTCTGGTAGGTCTCTTTGCTATGTCAAGGTGATTTCTCATCTAGATATCATAACTCCATTTTAAGCCATAACATTAAGCTGTTAATTTCTTTTTTTTTTTTGTCGGTCGTGGGGCTTGAACTCTGGGCCTGGGCGCTGTCCCTCAGCTCTTCAGCTCAAGGCGAGCGCTCTACCACTTGAGCTACAGCACCACTTCTGGTTTTCTGGTGGTTTATTGGAGATAGGAGTCTCACCGTCTCTCCTGCCCGGGCTGGCTTTGAACCGCGATCCTCAGATCTCAGCCTCCTGAGTAGCTAGGATAAGCTGTTAATTTCTTACATGCATCTTTTCCACATTAAATAAGGACAGCTATAGTAATTTTGATATAGACATAGAAAAAGTGGATGTTAGAGCTCTATTCCACAATCTCACACTCTATAACTAAAACTTTACCAGTACATTGATGTATCAGTATTGTTGGCAGATGCTGGTGGCTCACACATATAATCCTAGCTCTTCAGTAGGCTGAGATTTGAGGATTGAGATTTGAAGTCAGCCTGGGCAGGGGAATCCAAGAGAGTCTTATCACCAACTAACTACCAAAAACCAGAAAGTGATGCTGTGGCTCAAAGTGGTAGAGTGTTAGACT